CTTACCTGCTTCTCTGCAGAGTTGAAACCAGAGGTCGTGACTGGGGCATGGGGCACCCCAGCCCAGCATCCCTGGTTCTCTGGGAGAGGCCGCAGGGGCAGGCCAGAGCACAGGCCTGGAGGCTGGACATGTCTGGCTGAGACTGAGGCAGAGGCTGGCTCTGTGGAGAGGCCAGGGAGTGGCTGGGCACTTAAGGTCCAGCTGGGAGGGAACCTTCAGCCCCAGGGCCACCTCCTCCAGCCCCTCATTGGGCCCAGGGCCTGCAGAATGAGCTATGTGTAGGTCATAGGGTCACTAGCTCCTAGGCTGGCTGCCTGTAGTGTTGACTTGGGCAGGGGCAGTGTTCTGGGTAGAAGTAAGGTTCACATGGGGTAGATGACTATGTGGGCGTTCATTTGTCCTGTTAGTGGGCTTGAGGGGTTGTGATTTTAGGGTGTGACTTGGGGAGCTGGTGGAACTCTAATGTTGGGGTTTACTCTGACAGTCTTATAGGGAAGTCACATCAGGGAGGCAAGTTGGGGTTTGTGTCTTGATGATGGGGTGCCATACGATATTGAACCTGGAGCAGAAAGCAAGCAGTACCTGTACCTTTTGTACCACTTCTCCCTGCCACCTGTGTGTGTGTTTGGGAGGGGGGGTTGGTGGGGGCTGACAAAAGTGACAGGAACTCACCCAGCAGCAGGTGTGTCTTCCTCAGCTCCCATTATGGTGCATGCTGTTTAATTCCTTTCCCAAAGCTCTGTGTGAAGGGCCTTCCTGGAGATAGCCCTCAACCCGAATCCCATTAACAACTCTGAGAAAAAGTACTCCTCATTATCCCTGTGCTGTGAATAGGGAAACTGAGGCCCAGGTCTCACTCACAAGGCCAAGAAGTGACTGCAGTCAAATCTCAGGGGTCCTGAGGAAGCAGCACACCTGAGTATGAACCCAGCTCAGCTCCTAATGGGCCCTGCGGCCTTAGGCCCTGTCCCAATCTGTGCAAATGGATAGTAATTAACCGCTAAGGCTGCAGAAGGCACAATTTGGTTCTGTAAGCACCCAGCACAGGGCCTGCACCAAAAAAGTGAAAAGAACAGCTAACACCCTCTGATTGCTCACTCTTCTGAGCACACCAAGTGAGCCAGTTCACTTATCCTCTCATAGCCTGTGGGCTTCACTGTCCCAGTTTATGAATGTGGAAACTGAGGTCTAGAGAGGTGATGAGGTTGGCCAAAGCCACACAGCTAGTCATGGGTTAAGCTGGGATGTGAACCCTCGGAACTTAGAGGTCCAGCTGTAGCTGCTTTTTGGCAGCTCTTGCTCTCTGGCTGGCACAGTAGATGTCCTGTTTTTGGGGTGCCCCCAGCAGAGAGGCTGCTTCGAAGGGCGAAGGGTGAGCAAGCAGAAATGTACTCTTCTTTGCTTTCCAGCACTCATTCATTCACTCTATCTTTTGAATAGGATTGACTGAGAACCTTCCTGTGGCAGGCACTGGAGCTGCTCCTGGAAGCAGCAGTCCTTGTTACAGACACTGCCTCCCACCTCACGCCTCAGAGCACGCACTGCACACAGCCAGCACCTGCAGCTCTCTGCTAAAGGGCTGCTTCTGGTGACCTAGTGCCTGCTGTCCAGCTCAGAGGCAGGCTGGAAGGGCTGGAGAAGCGATGGTCCCTCCCCAGCTGCCCTGGAAGCAGCCCTCAGCCAGCAACAGGGGAGGGAGTTTGGTGGGGTCAGTTCCCTTGGATGTGTTTAGGTGCGTGGGTAATAACTCGGGAGTGTTCTGCACTGTCTCCAGTCTCCCAGCAGGACTGGGCTAAGTTGCCAACCCACCTTGGCCTGCAGTCCACAACCTTGGCTGGTGGCTTTCCTTCCCCTGCCCAACTCTCCGTTCCCTGACCAGACAGCCTTTAACAAACTAGCTGTTACTGAAACCTTCCCTCAGGGCTTGCTTCTGGGGGAGGCCTCTTCATCTGATGGCTCAAGAGAAGCCAGAAATCTAACAGTTATTGTGAAATCTCCTGACTTTTAAATATTTGCAACCAATTTTTAAATTTTTTTAAAATATTATGTTTAACAAGATGAGTATATTGCATCCATGCCAATTTCCTGTTGGGATATTGTACCTGTAGTCTGCAAGAGGTTATCACTGGGGGAACAGGGCATGTGGGATCTCTCTGTATTGTTTCTTACAACTGCATGTGAATCTATAAGTATTCTGAAATAAATAATTTAATTAAAAAAAATTGTATGAGCTATTTATAAGAATGAGGATTGCACAGATGTTAAATATGGCAGACTGATAGGTTCAAACCCTGTCTATACCACTCACTAGCTTGTGTGTCCTTGGGTAAGTTACTTACCTCTCTATACCTTGGTTTTCTCATCTGTAAACTGAAAGCAGTAACATTAATACAGAGAGGAGGCAAAAGATATAATGTTAAATCAAGCTATATTCGAAGACTGCAATATGCTGATCAGCTCTATAGCCAGATCACTAGGAAACCTGCAGAACAAAGGAAGATTTCTGCTGGGATTGCTAACAAAGCATTTCTCTGCACTGTGAAGGGAAAACAGGAAAACCAAGTCTTTAAGTCACACCTTACACAAAATAACATCATTCATTCCCTACGGCTAAAAACATGGGGAACCTATGGATCAAAAGCTGGGAACTGCCAGCAGGCCTTTCATACTATATTTTTATCTTTTCATGCTACATTCTCTTATCCTTTAGTACTGTATGTCTGCATCAAAGGAAAAAGGGTAGACAAAGTCTTTAAACTGTAATTCTCAGAAACTAAAGAACAAAATATAAACCAGTGTCTTTTCTCAGTCTCTGTCTTTTTCTCTTGGTCCTTCTCAGTGTGTTTTCTCAGTCCTTCTCAGTGTCTTTCTATCTGTCCCTCCCACTGTCTCTGTCCCTCTCTCTGTTTGTCCCTCTGGGTCTCTCTCAGGCTCTCACTTTCTGCCTCTGAGAGGAAACCATGCTCTGTCTATGGAGTGTTACCCCTTCTATAATAACCTTTGCTTTTGACTCTGACTCTAGCATGCATTTGAATTCTTTCTTGTGCTCAAAGAACCCTCTCTTGGTGCAGGCCCACTTCGAGGAAATTAGCCCTGTCCTGCATCAACAGTACCTACTGTTAGATAGCTAGTCAGACATGAGCAACAGGGGACAAAGGAATGGAGTCCCAGCCCAGACACAACCCAAAGAAGACCCATTGGTAGTTAAAGAATCCCTCCTGCATTCCAGGAGACAAAGGACCAGAGGGCCATAACCTATGGCTGGTTTAATCCAGCCACAGATGCTTGTGCAGGTTAGGGACTACCCTAAATTGCCCACAACCTCAGCCTCATTATACCATCATTATAATACCATGTTTATGCCTGTAAGTTCATGAATCTAATTATAACAGACTGAATTCTGGGTAAGCACATGTACCTTGGGCAGAGTTATATAGCAGAGTTATATAGCAGCCAAGTGTCAATCAAAACGACCTCATGTGGTCTACGGCCATACCACCCTGAACAAGCCTGATCCCGCCTGATCGCGGAAGCTAAGCAGGGTCGGGCCTGGTTAGTACTTGGATGGGAGACCACCTAGGAAGACTAGGTGCTGTAGGTGTAAAAAAAATAAGGGATTGTAAACTGACAAGGTCCTTGCAATCTGTGAGGTCGACCAAGGGTTGCCTTGCCTAAAAAAAAAAAAAAAAAAGAAAGAAAGATCTTATGTGCCAGTCACCTAGAAACGCCTTTGTAACCACCCATCGCGGCCCTAATATAATACAGACCTCCCCCTTCCTTGGGGCCACAGCCCTCTTTTTCCTTACTGTAACCCGCTCCCCATGGTATGCATATCCTCGTTTCCAAGCGGTTAGCCAGTTTAAGTGTGACCTGTTTTCTATCTCGAAACATGCCTTTAATAAATCTTATTTCTCATAATTGTCGCTGATTGGAAATTTATTTCTTTGTCAGCGATAAGAACCGAGATTTGCGTGTTACCAGAACCCCGATGGCTGTAACGGCGACACTACCTTATGGTATGTCTGAGGATTAAATGAGATAATGTATGAGAAGGTCTTAGAATAGTGCCTGGCACAGAATAAGCACCAGATGAGAATAAGATATTGTTATTTTTCTAATTGTTGCTGCTATCAAAAAAGCAAGGAGCAGAGTAATGTATGTGTAGTACAAAATATAAAGAAAAATTACATATATGTGAAATTATATATGTGCGCATATATGTATAAAGTATATATATATGAACTTATCTCTGAGGGATACATAGGAACTGTGGAGAGATGGGAAGGGAAGAAAACGTTCACTGTGAAAATGGTGTTTTCAACATTGTCATTGTACTAAATGCCCCTGACTTGTACACTTTAAAGTGATTAATTTTATGTTATATGAATGTCATATCAATTTTTAAAACTGATGTTTTTTAAAATTTTGATCCTTAGATAAACCAAATAAATCAAATCTTAAAACTAGTAAGGAATGAAAAAAGGCAGGCAAGCACTGCAAGCCAAATCCAAGTACTCAGGACTCCAGGCTGCTCAGATCCACTGCCCATTGAGTTCCAGTGTGAGAGGGAGCCCCCAGGGAAAGCCAGCCCAGGCCACCCTCCTTATAACCAGTGCCAGCTGCCATTGGACACAGCAGCATGAGACCCTCAGTGGGAAGCACTCAACTGATCCCCTTCCCCAAATCCTGGCCCGCAAAATTGTGAACAAAATGTAAATGGTTGTTTTAAGCTGCTAAATTTCAGGGCAATTTGTTACTCAGCAATAGCAACTGGATCACTGCCTCAGGGCCTCCGCAATGGCCCTTTGTCTGCCTGAAAAGCTCATTCTCCCACCAACCCCATACTTACTTGGTCTTCCTCACCTGATCCACATCTCTGTTCAATAGCACCTCCTTCCTGAGGCCTGCTCCTACCATCCTATATGTGCAGTATACACATTTCCCATCCCTTTATTCTGCTTTATTTCTTTCATAGCATCATTTACCACCTGTCATTATTTTATATATTTATTCCTACATTCTATGCCCTCCCTCATCTATAATAAAAACTCCATATGAGCAGAGAGAGTATTTGCCTTGTTCTCTCCACTGGAGCCTCAGCACAGAGTGGATATTCAGTATCTGTCCCCTGTGAGGGGACAGAATGATAGGGGACAGAGTGTGCAGAGGGCACCTTCTCAGGCAAGCTATGGAGGTCCTGGGCCTCTGGCCAGGCATATTCACCTTCTTATTCCAATACTCCGCCATG